TCCCTCCAGTCCAATTCTCTCTAGGACTTTGAACATAAAGGCATGCTGAATTTTGTCAAAAGCATTTGCATCTATTGAGATGAAAATGTGGTTTTTGTCTTTGAGTCCTTTTATAGGATTAATGACATTTATTGACTTGCGTATATTGAACCATCCCTGCAGTCCCTGGGATAAAGCCTGCTTGATCATGGTGAATGATCTTTTTGATGTGTGTCTGTATGTAGTTTGCAAGTATTTTGTTGATAATTTTTGCATCTTTGTTCATTAAGGATATGGGTCTATAGTTTTCTTTTTTTGTTGTGTCTTTGAGTATTAGAGTGATGCTGACTTCATAGAAGGAATTTGGGAGTTCTCCCTCTGTTCCTATCGATGTGAATAATTTAAGTAGTATTGATTGTGGAGGGGTCTTTTTAAATGTCTGGTAGAATTCTGCTGTAAATCCATCTGGGCCTGGGCTTTTTTTAGTTGGGAGGCTTTGTATTACTGTTTCTATTTCCTTATGTGTTATGGGTCTGTTTAAACTGTTGATCCTTTCTTGTTTTAACTTTAGTGGTTCCCATGATTTTAAATATCCATCCATTTCTTTCATATTTTCAAATTTAGTAGCATATAGATTTTTAAAATATTCCCTTATACTGGTCTGAATCTTTTGGGTGTCTGTTGTGATGTTTCCCCTTTCATCTCTGATTTTGTTGATTTGGATTTGCTCTTTATTTTTGTTAACTGGGCTAAGGGTCTGTCTATCTTGTTTACCTTTTCAAAGAACTAGCTCTTAGATTCATTGAGTCTTTGTATTGTTTTCTTTGTTTCTATTTCATTAATTTCTGCTCTGATTTTGTTATTTCTTCTTTTCTGCTAGGTATGGGTTTCATTTGTTCTTGCCTTTCCAATGTCTTGAGTTGCAGTGTTAGGTCATTTATTTGGGCTCTTTCTTTTTTTTAATGTAGGCATTTAGAACTATAAACTTCCCTCTTAGGACTGCTTTTAAAGTGTCCCAGAGGTTGTGTTGTGTTGTATTGTCCTTTTCATTAAATTCCAGGAACTCTTTTATTTTATTTTAATTTTTTTTGATTTTTTTGAGACAGGGTCTCCCTGTAGCCCCAGCTGTCTTGGAACTCACTATGTAGACCAGGTTGGCCTTGAACTCACAGAAATCCACCTGCCTCTGCCTCCCGAGTGCTGGGATTAAAGGTGTGTGCCACCATGCCTGGCTGGAATTCTTTTATTTCTTTCTTAATTTCTCCTTTGACCCACTCATTGTTTAGGAGTGTGTTGTTCAATCACCACGAGTTCATGTAGTGTCTAGGGCTTTGTCTAGTGTTGATTTTGAGCTTTATTGCATTGTGGTCTGATAGAGTGCATGGAATTATTTCAATTTTTTTGTATTTTTCAGGTTTGTTTTGTGGCCCAGTATGTGGTAAATTCTTGAAAAAGTTCCATGAGGTGCTGAGTAGAAAGTGTATTCTTTGGTGCTTGGGTGGAATATTTGAAAGATGTCTGTTGGTCCATTTG